AGTACTACATTCCTAGCACATAGCAATTGGTAAGAACTGCTAGTCTTTGTGTCAGATATTAAATATTTTTGCTCTTCACATAATTTTCCTATTACTATATGTCTTATGAACGAACTATTGCCATTTAAATGTTGTTTGTTAGCCTATAGTACAGTATAGCATGTAAAAGATTCCAAGCCTTGAAAAGGAACAAATTATTTACTTTTTGTGTTTTTTATTTTGTTGTTGTTGTTTAGTCATTAAGTCGTGTCCGACTCTTCGTGACCCCATGAACCATATGTTTTTTATTTTATTTATAGCTAAATACTTTATTTTTACTTCAGCTTTTAACAATTTTTTAAGAAAGTTATACCATAGTAAAGATACAAAAAACATTTATTATTTCTGAAAAGATCAGTGTGTGTCCAGTTACCCAGCCCATGGCAGAATATCAGACATTTACACACTTTTTTGGGCGGAGTCCATTAAAAAAAATCACATTTACAAGGAGATATATTAGCAATGGCCATAATTTTTATTGGTGCTCTTAATCAAATGATAGTGGCAACGAAATGCAGGGCCTGAAGAGGCCTGCATTTCCCATGTGTAAATATTCCTTGTTTTTACTATGAAAAGTTAGGAATAAACCTTGTATTAAAGTGAATTCCTAGCAAAGAGGCATTTTCAAGATCCACTAATTATAATGTATGTCATGCAGTCTAACTAGGCCATGAAGCCTATTACCGGCAGTTTTGAAATCACTAAAAAAATTAAATGGATGCTTCATATTAAAAATGCGGATTTTTTGAGAAATGCAAATAAAACATGTATGTTTAGGAAAATGTACCTGACAATGAATTTGGGGGAAGTATTTAAAAAAAAAATTGACAGCACAGATACTTGAATTTCTGCTCTTAGAAAACACAGGCTGATTTCAATTCACAACCTGTGAACAATCCCCTTCGCAAGCTCAAGAAATAAGCATTTTAGAAAGAAATAGAAATACGAACCAGAATCTTCATTGGGCTCAGTCTTCACCTGAATGGAAGGGCAACTAGACAAACAGAGAATAGGTAATTCTCACCCAGTGAGTATAATACATCACATGAATTTATCTCATCATTGATTCAATTAAATGAGTTCTCACTAGGCTAACTGGCTCTCTAGGACATTGAGAGGAAAATTCCTTCCGAATTGCCTATCCTCAACTGGAGAAACATGCTTAGAAGGCTCTGGCAGAGCCTTGAAATAGTTATAGCAACTTTTAGACAACTGCAGCTGCTCTGCAACTTGATCTGAATTCCTCACCAGCATAAGTCAGTTGTAGGTGTTCTGGCCCTAAACCCTAACCCTGAATTTATGTGGGGCTATTGAGGACTAGACACCTCAAAGCTGCTGACCATAAGATGTCAACTAAAAACTCTCAAAAATGTCACGCATTTGATTTTTTATTTTGATTTTCTGCTGCTTTAACCTGATGCTGGCACTGATTTTTTTTAGCGTTTAGGATTTTTAAAGTATTCTTTAAAATGAGTTGCTAGCAGAATTGTTAATTACAGCTGAAAGACAGAAGATAAATACTGAATATTGTCACTTCATGTTTTGTCACTGAAAAAAGTACTGCTGTACTGTTTGTAGACAAGCTATAGGAAAAAAAATCAGAGAACACCACAGAAGGTTTTGTACCTTCCGCCTGGAGATGTTATCGTGTGTGAGGAGTCTGACACACGAGGACCTGGAAAAAAAATGAAAAAAGAATATATTTCCATAACTTAAGTCACACAAATATTAAGCTGAATACAGAATATATATGGGAATGTGAAAAAATAAAGTTGATTAAGGGATACTGATATTTTTCCTGTTATATAATTGTATAGAACTTTTACAGTTCTATACAATATACAGTATAGCATTGATATCACTTGGTTGTGTCAAAAAATTCACTTGGGCTATCTGTTTTTACCCCCTCTCACTGTCTTGCTCTAGAAGAATGTATCTGTGATCAAACTGAGTGGAGCCAATTACAGGAAGCATATGATTTATTCTGAATTTCCCTGACCTTTAAGATCTTTGGGAGAAGCATATTCCCTCAGTCTTTCCACCACCAGAACAAACAGAAGACCTTTTTGGTGGCTGCTCCTATGTTCTGTGATTCCAACTCCTTTGGTTACCTTCTTCTGAAGTTTTTATTTAAACTGGTATTGACATATAAACTGAAGATGTAGGTACATGGCATATTGTTTAATTAAAGGACCACAGCAGTATTTTATTTATGCTTTATGTTGTTTTTAATATTGTTCACTGATTCTTATTGATCCAATTTATATTTCTTTTTTCTAGCCTGAGGATATATAATTATTACTTGGTTGAGTATGACATAAATTAATCTGTAAGCAAGTATAGTGTAATTCAATACAGAGATGTTAATTATAAATCAGAATCAGTTCAGAATATCTTCCCCTAGTAAGATTAAGATTAAAAGTTACATAACATTAGTTCAGAACTCAAGCTCAAGAAAATTCTGAATTCTAAAGCCAAGAAGTAATGGCCAACATTTCAGCCAGGTTCTGATAATTGTAGGGAAGGAGATGGAAAAAAAGCAAGACTAAAAGTTCAGCCACATCAACTCCAGAGTCTCCTGGCCAATAAATTTAAATAAATAATCAATCAATCAATCAATCAACCAAAGCAACATCAGAAAACTAGATTGAGAGGCTGGAAATACTCATTGATGTTCTCAAGGCTTCTGAGTGAGTCTTACTTTAATCTGAGAAATTAAAGTCTTGCCTTAGCAAGACTTGATAGAAGCCAGGTCTGATAAAGTGAACAGCCACTAGCTATGTCAGCACTCTGGGTCATGGCAATTTTCAAGGCTCTATTGTTTGCTGAGCATCATCTACTTATGATTCTGATAGCATATACTCTCTCAATATGAATAAACAGACCCTGCAAAATCTTAGAAAGAGGTGCTTTACAATGTGCAGATGTATAAAAAGCACCTTTTAAAAAATTGCTTAAGGAGTCATTTCATTTGCATGGTCCAGCAGCTGCTTCAGAAGTGATGCAGCATGCACATACATACAGAGGGCATTGGGAATAGCTTGTGAAACAACCAGCAAACCTTGCAAATGACACAGCTACTTTAATTATTTGAAAAGAGGTTCTTTGTTAAATGCTTCTGCACAAAGACCTTTCCCGCCCCCCCCAAAGGCTTTCCACAGCCTTACTGTTTAAGATCCACAGTATCTGAGACAATATATGTAACTTTTAAACAACAGGATTTGCTTTACTATAAGAGTAGCAAAAATAAATTCCTGCATGAGATGTGCTGGGGTGGGGGTGAGGGAAGTACAGAGGAAATTATTCTGGTCTTACAAAAGGTTGAAAAAATTAAATAGTAATTTGAAACTGCTAGCATAGTTCAAGAACTTTTCAATACTGTATACTTCTTTTCAGGGCATCAACATATCTTGAAAAAAGCTACAGAAATATAATTGTTGCTACATAGAAAATGAACGTTTTAATTTTTTATTTAGATCAAGTTAGGACTCACCTAAATGTTTCTTTGGCTCAAGGAAAGGCCTATATAAAGAAAGAGCAAATTCTATTATCCTAAAAGGTCCAGTTATGAAAATGATAATAGCATTTGAGTGTCCAGATCATTTCTTCAATTTTTGTTCATAATTCCTACAAAACCATCTATAAGATAGGGTAATATTACAAGGTCCATTTTGGACTGCAGAGGGAAGATGAAGGAATGGTGAAAATAGTATCACAAATAGAAATGTCTGATTCACAGCAGAACAACATCATTTCCCTCAGTTTTGGAAAGGGAATTTCCATAATCCATACTATTACAAATTAATTTAAAGCTTTAGAGAGAAGTCTTCAAAGCTCTAATTTAAGTGAAAAAAATTGTTCTTTACTAAAAGGTTCCTCTTTTCTGATGCCAAGATAATTGATTTCTCTTAAGTTTCTAACGGCTACCAAATTATCCGAAGAGAAAAATATGTAGCGCATAATGAACTGTCCTCCTCATGTAAGCATCCAATCTATTTCCAAATTTGGTCTTTTGAACATGGAAGAATATGTTCTTCCTGGGAAGGACTGCTCTTCAAGAACCTGCAGAGATAATCAGGTTTACAAGGGAGTTTGTTTCTACATGGGAATTGCTGTCCTGCTAATACGTTAAATAGCTTTAGTAACCCATATTTACACTTTATTATCCAAAGTGGTTTATGAACATTTTGCTGCAAGCTCTAAGTATCTCAAGAAACTAAAAGAAAATGAAATTAAGTTTGTACCTTTTGATGACAAATGAGATCCCAGATTTGTTTTCCAAAATCCACTTCAGTGTTGTGACATCATAGCTGGAGGGATGTTTGAAAGCAAGTCCTTCTGGAAGCCCATGTACTACCACAGCAAATGGATCCCTCTGAATCTTATCATATGGCACAGGAACTACTGTTGATTTTCCTAAAGCTTTACCTAGATGGGCGAAAATCAATCTTTAGCAATGGGATATCATTTTTATTGGTAAAGTAACCAAACAATGGCAAATGTGTCCTTTTCTTTGATGCATAAACTGATTTTGAAATAAAAATTAGCCCAGTAACTCTTTATATAGATGAGGTAGATAGTGTAACCACTCTCTAGCCCTCAGGTCTCCAGTGTAGTTCTCTGATCTGCCATTGTGACCATAAACAATTATCCTCACAAGCTCCAGGTTTTTTTTCTTTAAAAAAAATGTTTTTTTTATTTAAAAAATGAGAAGCTGGCATACTTCAAAGGAAAGCACCAGCCTCCAGCATGACATTTATTATTATGACAGGCCTTCTCTGTGGCATCTCCCACATTATGAAACTCTCCTCAAAGGTACATTTAGCCCCTATGTGGTTAATAGCCCATAAGCATTCCAAAGCTATATTATTTTAGTGAGCTTTGGCCCCTAGTGGTCCTTTGTGAGGGCATTCATCCTTTATATTTGATGTTGTGGGATTTTGATTATGAATTTGTAATTTCTGTACTACTGTATATCACCTAGGGTTTTTTTGCGACTGAGGCAGATAAGCATTGGATCCAGAGTCGTTTTGCGTGAGATGTACAGCTATATAAATGTGACAAATAAATAAATATTGTATGTCAGTCAGTCAATAATTAATTAATTTCCAAGAATAGTTCTGAGCCCCAAAGAGGCCCCCATGAGCTTTCCTGGGGGGGAAAATTGATGGTTATAGTAAAAAAAAAAAAAAAAGGATTAAAAGAGCAGCAGAGGTTTTTCAGGAGGGAATACCAGTTGAATCTGTGTATTTGTGTACACATATGCATGTAAGCATACTTTCTCCCAGGGACTAATCAACATACATGCATACTTATTACCTGCATATGTGGTATGTGACTGCGTAAATATAGGGGGTGTTTCTGCTCTTTCCTCAAATTGTATCTTCATGTTTTTGTGCGTATGTGCACTGGAAAGGTACACGGTCAATGGGCCATGGGACTGAGAAGGAGGGGGGCCTTTGAACCGAGTAGTCAGTGGCATTCTGAGCCACTGCCCAACTTCCTTTCCAACACAGATGCACTGGAGGACTTTTCTCCAGAGTTTCCAGCTGAATCCAATACATTTTCAAACTCAGACTTTTTTTTCATCACATCACATCAAATTTGTTCTGTTTTCATAAAGTTATCCTGCTGAAATTAAGGGAGAGACTGAAGTTCCTTTGCATAATTTATTTCCAATATTCTGTTGGGTTGGAAAGAATAAAAAGCATGCTCCAGAACCTTGCATTATGGAATTAGCTATAATGAGAGGTTAAACCTTATGTACAATGTGTATCTTATTTATATAGGAATTTATAAAATGCCTTTACTGTATAGTTCTTAAAGAAATAAAGCAAGCTGAATGTTTACTAATTAGTTAATCCCATGAAATAGAGAGCAACTCACATTCATCACTGAATTAGGATTCAAATCATGCCTCATATCTTGATGGTTTAACTGCTTTCCTCAAATGAAAATCAACTGCATTTAAATCCAGAATTAGAAACATCAGGATTCTGCTCTGAACAGTAATTTGCCATTTAAAAATAAATATTTACCGTAGCAAATACAGAAATAATCCTCCACAGACTTCCTGAGAGCTTCCATTTCCACAATATCCACAGTCATCCTGTTATCAAGTGATGCTGATTTTGTCTTCTGCAATTCTACAGCTTTTGCCTCTTCATTAACACCTAGGAAGAAATTATGAAATCTGACACTGTCCATAAACCTACTACCATAAAACCATGAGATTATTCATATATTAAGACCTTTCTCAGAAATCCTGCTTCTTGTCCTCACACCATCTGGCTACAATAAATCTTCAGTTATACAACCAGCATTATTGAATTACGTCTCCAGGAATACAGTTGTTTGGGGGAGATAGGCAAAACTGCATTGTTTTGGACACACAGTATTCAACGCTATTTGTATTATGGGTTTGATACCACTTTGATGAACTTCTGTCAATAATTATTACTTACATAATTTATAAGTAATTTTTAATGTATAATCTTTGGAGTTTATTGGTATCCTATCTTTTCACTGAAAAGTATTCTGTTTCTGGAGATCTATGAACTGGACATTTTTCCAATGTCCTTAATAAACCAAGAGCTGATTTAACACTTTATAGGACCATGCTGTGATTACCATGTGTCTGCCAAGGAACATAGCAACATTTATATCTTGCCAACTTTCTCAGTGGCTTCCCTATAAAGATGGTTTTCACTGGTCCAGTTCAAACACAATGTTAAACCAGAAATGAAATGAAATGGTTACCTATTCATTCCTATTTGGCATCTCCTGCTGGTGAAAATAACTGCCCAAGCCTGGAAGTCTCAACAGACGGTTTGCCTACAGTAGCATCCAACTAGGATCTGAAGGCTCCCAACTCCTCCAGCTCATGAAAAGAATGAGATATTGCTCTACAAGAGTGTTTTTCAATGTTGGCAACTTGCTGGCTGGGGCATTCTGGGAGTTGAAGTCCAGTTGCCAACATTGAGAAACACTGCTCTACATGATTGCTGAAAATGAAACAAAACATAATTTAATTTTGGTACAAATTGCTCAGCCAATCAGGTGATTGCATAATCTGATTTCTGAGTTGGACTATTATGGATAGTTATATTTTTATTTTATAATTTACAAATGAGGAAAGTGTAACTTCTTATAGTGAAGATAATCTCCTAAAAATTCAGTATTCTGGGTAACTCTGAAATTGTCAAATTTGTCCGGTACTGTATTGACCTCCATTTATGGTTAAAAATTACTTTTTAAAATGTTTAATAACAGAAAACTCTGTTGAAAGAAACAGAAGTTCTGAAAATTGCTCCCCCAACACACAATACATACTCAATATTAAATATTATGAATTGCCAGGAGTCCCTGAGATGGGTGATAATATACGTTCAAAAATCAGGTAGATGTTATTTGTTGTTGTTACCCTCAGAATAGTTGATAAGAAACTATATTACTTCAGTGCATTCTAGCTATGTAGCTTTTTCTTCAGTAATTCCCAGCAAGCAATTGAAAAAATCTATTTTTCATTTAAAACAAAAACTATTGGACTTGTTCTGAGACACCACCATTTTATTTAAAAGCACCAATATTTATGTAATTGAAACTTGACAATCGCACTGAAAAAATGTATAGCGTTCACAAGTAACAGAGGTGGTCTTATCAAGATAAATGAATTTCCCAGCAACACTAAGCCAGTTTAAAGAAGTTATTTTTGTTTGTTTTTAAGCAAATATATTTCATTTCTGATCTAAATGTACAGTGGTACCTCGGGATACGAACGCCTCTACTAACGAACATTTCGGGTTACGACCAGCTTCGGCAGGAAAATTTTACCTCGGG